GGAGGCTTTTGAAGGCCTCGAAGAAGAGGGGCCACGTAAGGCAGATGGCGGATAAAGATTACAGCAATTATCTTTAGTTCCAGCCCATTCACGGGCCTCCAAGGTTTTGCAGAAATGAGCGTTATAAGAAAGCCTTGCACAGAAGGGGGCTGCGCGCTTAAAATGTTTACCTTTCATCATCAATCTCTGGTGGGTTTTCTCGGGAGACAGCAAAGACCCAAAGCCCCGGCTAAGGCCCTGTTCCTGTTCCTTTTTACAGTTTCTACAAGTTTGATCAGTCACAGATCCCTTAGAGGGTAACACACTGAGATGCCAGCATGGGCAGAATCAATTCTTTGCATCACATCAGTCCTCACTTACCACCCAGCTCTCCCCTGCACCTCCCATGCTCTTGTAGAATCAATCAGAATAAAAGCGGGGGTGGGGGGAAGTCATGATTTTCACAGTTTAAACTTGACCTCTTCACGTAGAAGGTCAAGGAGGTGAAGCTTAACACAACGACGTTGCTGTAGCTGCCGCTACCAAGGTCACTATGGTTTTTGTTGTTCGGATAGCCACTGTTTACGTAGTACTCGCTCTGGATCAGGCAGTTTAGTAAGTATATTCAACACTAACGATCACTATGGTAGTCTGAAGCCAGAAATCCCACTCTACAGGCTGGGAGAGGGAGGTCTGGCATTTGGTAATTTACCTGAAGTCACACTGGGACCTAGGTCTGCTCAACTCAGAAACCCAACTCTTTGTGTGGATGGGAAAGTTAGGAAGTTCTGATCTCCAATTACCTTGGCTGAATAATTTCTCCTCTATCAACTCTAATGTCAATTAATCTGTAAATCTAATATGCATTTTCCTTTGACAACCTATGTGGTGCCAAGAGAAATTTAAGAACCTGATGGTCCACACCTTTAATCCCAGTACAGAAATCAGAGGCAGGTGGGTTTCTATGAGTTCGAGACTAGCCTGGTCTATATATTGTGAGTTTAAGGCCAGCCTGGTCTAAATGGTAAGCTTAGGCCAGCCTGGTCTACATAGTGAAAATCTGTCAAGATATATAGAGAGGTGAGATTTAAATAAACCCTGGGTAACAATTTCTTTATTGTAAAGTCGTATTTATCTTTTGCCTTCAAACTAAAGGTCAGAGTTGATGTGAGCACTCTAAATCAGTGAATTTGGTTGAAGACCAACAAACTGTTTACGCAAGACCTCACAAGTTCAAGACCCCAGATGACAGCCTATTGCCTGAGATAGCCTTGGGATGCTGTTTCGTGTTGTGTTCTTTAAATCTGAAGTTACTTTCTCCACACCCTTTAAACCATCATTGCATTTTCAGGGTCCGCTATTCAATACGATCACAAGGCGTGCTAACTAACCAAGAGTCTGCTTAGTCCTGCCACCAGTTTAAGGAGGGTTATAACAACTGCGATGTCACCCACCCTGCTCACAAAACCGTGACTCCCAGGCACACACGAAGCTTGGTCCTACCTTAATCTGGAAGGAGCCCTGATGAGGAAGCTGGTCCTTCAACCTCTGACATGTGTCTCCTTCCTTCCCGCCTGGCACTGGATGATGCTGATGATGCACTGGGCTGTCCCAAGTGTGTCCGTGGCTAATCCCATGTCACCAAGGACCCAGACAGTGGAGACATCCTAATGCCACGCTAAGGAGCTCACACAAGCATTTTACTCTGCAAGCTAGAGGGGAGGTAAGTAGCTTCCGTGGAATGTCTCACCCTTCCCCAAAACGCCCAGCAGAGACCACTGTGTTTCCTGTGTGTGACCTCAGATGTATGACTAGTGACAGCACAAAGAACAGCTTCTCAGACAGAAATGGGCATTTCAGGGTAATTTTTTTTTTTTTTTTTTTGAGGGCTAGCTAACATGCACACACAACAGTATGCAAATCATAAGTAAACTTGTCATGTTCTGAATGGCTGTCCCCTCTCAAACTTATTCAAATGTAACAGCCACAGCAGTAGGCATCAACTGCATGAAAAGAAGGCCATGAGGTCTCTACTCTCAGGGCTAAATTAACAGCTGCATCCTAGGAGTGGACCCATTAGTTCAAGAGTGGGTTCCTTATGAGAAAATTAGTTTGGGCGTGCTCTCTCTCTCTCTCTCTCTCTCTCTCTCTCTCTCTCTCTCTCCCCTCTTCCCCTCTGAGAGCCCTTCCCCACATGGTAGTCCACAGGTACCTGTCTGTGTCCTGAATGCCTTATAAGGACACAAGTCATATCTGCTTAGGGCCCACACAAAGGATGTCATTTTATCTTAATTAAGCCCCTTTAAAGGTCCCGTCTCCAAAAAAAGTCACATCCTGGGGTGCCTGGTGCCATGCCTGCATGGTGGCATCATCGAACTGTCCCTTCGTCAATGTACCCAGCAGTCCAACCCACACCCCAAGAGGAAGGCCAAATAAAGCTGGCCTATGGCGCTGCCCATCCAATCAGACTGTGGCCAGACTCCATGCTCAGCATTCACCTTGCTTTGCACCTGATTTCTGGACACTTACCTAGAGGACCTCAGCGCTAGCAGAAGGAGAATATAGAGTCTGTAGTACAGACTTTGGCGGGATCGTGCAGGACTGAGGGTTTGGAAGCAGACAGGTAGAGGAGGTCACCTACTAAAGGCTCGCAGATGAATCTGGGAAAGCCGTGTCCGAGCTGGCAGCGCTTGTAAACCCGGGCACAAGACTGACACTGGGACAGGTGAATTGAAGCCAGGTAGTGAGAAGGCAACTTTTGTTTCTAATTCAGTGCCTGGTGTGAGGAGGTTTTGATGTCTTTTCTCATCGGCATACACAATGACACTTTTGTTCAAGTATACCATGTAATTTGACTCTATTATTTCTTCCCGAATAGTACCCCCATTTTTTCATGTCATTTGTATGTGTGGTTATACATATATACTCATCTCATATATAAATTGAGGTTCCCACATGCCGGAGAAAATGTGGTATTTTTTCATTTCTTTTTTCGGGCCTGTTTTATCAGCATGGACATCCCCACTTTCATCCTGTTTTCCTGAAAATGACATAATTTCACTCTTGTTTATGGCCAAATAAACCCCGCTGAGTATATACACATTTCTTTCTTCTATTCCATCTTAGGTGATGGAGGGCGCCTAAGTAAGTTGCATGATGCGGTCACCGTGAGAAGATCACAGTCAGCTTGGATGAGCAGGTGTCTGTGTAGCATCGTCATCCCTGCAGGTGTGTCCCTGGGGCTAGCTGGTCACGTGATAGCTTTCATTAGATAGCTATCGTCATCTGATTTCCTAGTTTACACCCCACTGGCACTTACACACCCTGCCAGCACTCAATTTCTCCCTTTCTTTCTCTTTGGAGCTTGGGGACAATTTGTTAGGGGTTAAAAGGAAAAACCCCAGGGCGGGCCAGGCGGGGCCACCCTGCGGAGAGGAATAGAGAGAGGTGAGCCACGTGGCATCAGCTTGCCACACCGTGGAGGGGGCACTTTAGGAAAAGAACATGCGCGAGGAGTTTAAAAGCACGCTTAAGCTCTAGTCAGCATCCGAGAGGAAAGGCTGAAGAGAAGAAAAATAATACTCTTTTCGGAGCCAGGACCCAAAGACACAGGCAGACCCAGATGAACCTCCTTGAGGCGTGGCTCCTAGGGACTGCGGTTGTCGTTGTTTTTAGTGATACCCATTCTTTAAAATAATAACGAAACGATATCCATTCTGACGCAGGGGAGATGGTCTCAGTGTGGTTCTGATTCCAAGTTTCCTGATGGCGGAGGATCCTGAGCATTTTCTTGGTGTATTTACTTGCTATGGGGAGCCTTCATCTTTTGAGAAGTGTGCTCATCTGTACTGATTGGTTACTGGGGGTTGGTGTTCAGCTCTTTGGGTTCTTTATATACATTAGATAGCAATCCGTGTCAGAGGTGCAACTCACAAAGAGTTCCCCCGCTCTGTGGCCTCTTTTCATCCTTCATTTCCTTTTATGGGCAGAAGAAGCCTTTCAACTTTATGCAAAATTTCAATTTTAGCTTCCTGAGCTATTGGAGTCTTTTCCAGAAGTCTTTCTCCTATGCCTATTTCTTGAAGTGTTTCTCCTGAGTTTCCCTTTAGTAGTAGTTTCAGATCTTAAGTGGGGCCTTTGATCCATTTTTCTTTCTTTCTATCCTTTTTTTTTGGGGGGGGGGACTTTCAAGCCAGGGTTTCTCTGTGTAGTTTTAGAGCCTGTCCTGGCACTGAACTCACAGAGATCCACCTGCCCCCCCCCAGGGGTTCCAACAGCTGGCATCGGGGGAAGTCAGGGGTGACCCTCCAGTTTTAAGTGCGTAATAAAAACAGAACACACGCCAAAGCCAAAGCTTAAGCATCTGGTCCATGCTAGCAGGAGCGTGCACTTCATCCCAAGTCAGAACAACTGCCCGTCGCCGTGGGTACAAAAAGGAGCCTCTTTCACTCTGGTTAAGAAAGCTAGGGAGTGGACTGTGTTTAACAAAACGTTCGGCATGAAACATTTTAAAGGGTGGATCTCAAAGGAAAACCTCTCAACGACTGCATATGGAAAGCCTAACGCCACCAAACTTTCGTCAGATAGCTGGAGGACGCGGGACCTAGGGCCCCAAGGGGAAGCAACCGGTGCTCGGTACTGGTACTGTCGAGCCTTTGTACAATCAGTTTCTATGGTGCGAGCGGGAGGTCGGGCCAGGATCGTGCTTTCCGTCTAGGAGTGGCTCTTGTACCCTCCTTTGGTTTGGGCTGCCACCGCTTAGCGAGCGGTTAGGCGGCTCTGACGCTTGCTTTGGATTGAGACCCGCGCCCTGCTACTTGGAGACCCGGGAGGAGCAGCAGGCGGGGCCCGAGCGGTGGGCGGAGTCGCTGGTGGGAGGAGCCGGGAGGTGGGCGGGGCCCTCGGTGGGCGGGGCCGGGCCCTAGAGCGTGGGTGGCGGTTGGTAGTGGTCAGGGTCCCTGGCGCGGGGGCGGGGAGTGGGCGGGGCCTGGGCGCGCCTGCGCGGTCCACTCTACTCGGCGGCGGCGGCGGGGACGCGCTGGAGGAAAGATGGAAGACTTCCAGGCTTCCGAGGAGGTAACGTCGGGGGTGGGCCACGGGAGGGTGGCGGCCCCGCCTGGGGAGCCGCCGCTGCTAATGCCCAGGCTGACGATGCCCGCGGGCGGCGGGGCTCGGCGGGGCTCGGCGGCGCCCGGGTCCCCAGCCCCGACCGAGGGTGACATCGCTCCGCCCTTTGCGCCGCTGCGGACCCCAGCCGGGCCCGGTTGGGAAAGGGGCGTCCTGCGGTGGCGTGCGTGGTGACACGGGCGCGCAGGGCCGGCTCCCGGACCCTGGGGAGGGAGGGGTGTGGGTCTGCTGCCCCCGCTGTCCGCCTGCCAAGTGCAGTGGCGCAAACAGAACCTGCCTTTGTCTGGTCACGGTGCCGCACCTTGTCCTTCAGAGCCTCCCTACCTCTCTCTGGGTACATTTCATTTCAGTTTGTGATAGTAACGCGATCGCCCATTCTTGTGGGGGAAGAATGAAAGCCTCTTAGTGCCCTGGACACTTGCCTTGATGATGTGTTGCCAAAATGGCTTTTCCATCGTTCCCACACGCATCCAGGAAACAGCTGAATGGACGCCCCAGCTGTAGCTGCTCATTTTTTTTTCTTCCTGAATAATTTTTTGTTGAAATTCAGTAAAATACCAGAAATTACACAGTTTCTCAAAAATTAAAAACAAAAACAAGAAAAAAAAAACATGCCCGCTTTTGACATTTCTAAGGTATAGTTTAACTAAGGATATTCTGAGGGAAGAATAAGCCATTTGCATATTTATCGGAGACTTCCAGTTTTGGGCTAATTTCTCAACACAAACTTTATGGCAGTATCGTTCTGTGTTTGAACGCTGCTGGAAACCAAGTGAGTAATCTCAAGCCACGATCTGGAAGCATCCAGCAGAGGGGGAGCTTTTACCCAGATAGCAAACTGACATAAGGCGAAAAACTAGTGGAACTTTATGAAAAGGAAATGACCCTGTGAAGAGAAAGCCCCTAAAACTGCACTGTAATTCCAGTTTGTACATGTGCACTGGCTAACCGATGATGGCATCCGTACAGTGACGTGTCTGGACAGAGCGATGTGCGCTTTACACGGATGTTAGCAGCAGGAGGATGGATGCGCACCACAGTTTAACCATCAGCCTTCTCAGCTGAGCCTCTTGTGCCTGCCCTGAGTCCCCAGATTGTCCTCAGCTCAGTTAACTCTCTTGTAGCAGCTGGCACCGCCCAGTGGGTCCCATACAGTTTCCCCTCTGCCATTCTTGTACTTAACTGTATGGGAAGTTGCACAATGACTTCGGTTTGCGGCTTAGGATCAGCGTAGTCACCGGAAGAGCCTTCTGACTGACTTACTCTCTAAGATTCAGTTTTGTTTCCAAAGGACTTTGGGAGTCTAACAAGTGAGATGGCTTTGGGTGGTCAGCTCTTGTAGAGAGAGGGGCATTACCCAATACTGGAACAGGGCAGGGCCCTCAGTGGCCAGCAACCAGGAAGCATCTTCAACAAAACAGGATGGTCTGTCTTTCTACCAGGAAGGCAGAGGCCTCAGGGACTGCCAGGGCTAAGGTGTCCCAGAACCTGGAATAGTTTGTTCTCACGTAAGCAGCACACGGGTAGGCTAGTGCCCAGCTAATGTCCCTTACACCCACTCAAATCCCGTTATGTTAAAAGTGAGAAAACTGTAAGCTCGGCCTTGCCGGCGGCTCACGGGGTAGAGAAAAGTGGTGTACACACACCACACTCCTATACCTAATCCGTTTGCCTCAGGGAAGAGAATGCCCGGGCTGTCAAAATGGATTACTTACATTTCTTCAGCTAGCTTGAATGGAAGTCCAGTAAGTCATTATAGCGCCTGTACTGCTTAATGGTCCCGACAGCCGGCTGCAGGAGGAGGACAGAGGAATGTCGTGTGGAGTGGAGCTCGGGCTGCACTGTGATTTGAGCAGTGCTGACCTGAGCGTTAGCCCTGCAGAGACCCGACCCTATGGCTCTCGGCTGCAGCACACCTCGGGCTCTGAGTAGTGCAGTCCTCTACACGGTGGACAGCCTGGTCTCTAAGTCATGTCATTACCGATGCTGTGGAGAAAGACCTTTTAAACAAAACTTAACTATGTTTTCTTCCTTAACAGACTGCATTTGTTGTTGATGAAGTGAGCAACATTGTAAAGGAGGTAAGAGGGGATGCTTGCTTTCCAGCTGTTTGATTGATGGGGGCATGACCAAAGCAAGGGAGTAAGGGGTTTGTTTGGTTTACACTTCCACATCCCTGCTCATCCCTGAAGGAAGTCAGGGCCACGAACTCAAGCAGGGCAGGAGCCTGGAGGCAGGAGCTGATGCAGAGGCCATGGAGGGTGCTGCTCACTGGCGTGCTCATCACGACTTGCTCAGTCTGCTTTCTTACAGAACCCAGGACCACCGGCCCAGGGATGGCCCCGCCCACAGTGGGCTGGGCCCTTCCCCATCAGTCACTAACTAGGAAAATGCCCTGATCTCAGGGAGGCTTTTTCTTGACTTTAGCTTGTGTCAAGTTGACAGAAAAGTAGGCAGGACAGCATGGATGAGGGAAATGCCATCTGAGTCAAAATGGGAAAAATCGCAACAGCCACTGAGCCTCTGTGTTTCAGCGTTTCAAAATTTTTACTTACAAATAAGTAAAAGTCACTCCCATTATCTGTACTGAATCAAGGCTGAGTCTGTGACCTTGCAGCATGGAAGACTCGTGCCACATGGATAAATGTCTTCAGTGTTTGATGAGAAGGCAGAGCTGCAGAGAAAAGAGAATGTAACAGCTTGCCCCACACAAGTCAGGACCTGCTGATACAATTAGGGGTTTTAATAATTTCTCTTACGCTCTTAAATACCTTTGTGAGAAGTATCCAAAACCAAAATGATTTCTCTCTCTTATGTATGTTGCTCAGCATTGGGCGTGATCTTTCTGGTGCTTTGCAGGGAGTCTAAGTTTGTTTTTTATTGTTTCTTGACTGCAGCGTTTCCCATGGAAGAGGTGGGCAGTGGGAAGTGGTAGGTTAAGCCAGAGCCGGGAGAGCAGAGTGGGTTCGTTAGGGATGGGTTTTGCCTCTTGTTTTCTGCATCCACTTAGAGTCAGTTACCAGGCAGCAGGTGGCTGAAGTACACAGTAGCAGTCCTCAGGGGAGGGTGAGGTGACTCAGCTTTTCTGCCTGGCACTAGCTTTCTTCTGTCCTCAAGCCATTTACAAGTATTATAGGAGGAATGTGAGTGGCTTCCACTTACAGGTTCCCTCTCTCCCTACAAACTGAATTTCGCGGTGCTTAGACAGGGTTGCTCTTCCTCCTTTGACAGTGTTTGTCTGGCGATACTAAGCCAGACCACGGACTGCCAGCCCACAGAGTACTCTCAGCCTAGAGTAGGCAGAGAACATAGGGCAGCTAGGAGCTGTGCTGACGTGAGTGGTCGGAGCCCCAAGTCTGCAGCTGGGAATCATGGCTTCTCTGAGGCACCGGGCCTGCAGGGCCAGACCCTGATCCTTCACCACCGTGCAATGAGGGCCCCTGGGCCTCATGTCTGAAAACTAGTCACGACCCTCAGGGAATGCTCTTTACTGTAGCCTGTTATAAAACCTTCCTTTTCTGGGTCCCAGCTGGTTAGAAGAGGGGGGGGGGTGAGGGAGATTCTTGGAGCGGCACTGGCATCTGGAGTGAGGCTGCTGGGGAAAGGCCCAGGGAGTCACTGGATGGGAGGCTCTAAGTGTACCAGGAGAGGACAGTGAGCTGCATTCTCCAGAAGCCCCTGAACACGTGTGACGTGGTAACCCCTGAGGGCTGGGAGCACTAGGCTGGTTAGGTTGTGTATTGCCACTTGCACGGACAGCCAGTAAAATATCATCTAACACACACTGCTAAATTATATATGCTATGGTTTGATGAAAATGTCTAGTATACTTTAAAGAAATTGGCAAAACAAAATATTTTCAGCCTCCATAAGAAAAAGGGTTGCTTCCCTCTAGATATTAACAGCAGCGTGAACATCATTTGTTTAACATCATGTTTAGTGGAAATGTGGAACACATTTGACAGATTCTGTAAAACACAAGGATCTCAGCCAGTGTAACCATAACTGGGATACAGTGTAACTAACACAGCTGAAGAGCCACACTTGCAGAGCCCAGAGATGAAGCATAAGCCTGCATCTTGAGGGTTTGCCTTTAGTTCCCATGGGCCAGTTGGGATGGCTGGTGGGAGGGTGGGTGGGTGTGGAATCTGGGCTCTCTCCGTGACCTGTGCTTTTCCCCCTAGGCTATAGAAAGTGCCATTGGTGGCAATGCCTACCAGCACAGCAAAGTCAATCAGTGGACCACAAATGTCGTAGAGCAGACTCTGAGCCAACTCACCAAGCTGGGGAAGCCATTTAAATACATTGGTAATGGATCTTCTTGTGTGCCTTTAAATACTGATTAGAGGTATGTCTGGTGCTAGAAGAAAGCTGACTTAGCACTTCTTACCTAAGCTCCATCAAAGTCCTTCCAGGACCAGGTCCCTCGTGTACCAACTGAACTTTGCCCATCAGGCTGATACCACTGTTGCGGGCTTTATGTCAAACAGACATATTTAGGACATGCTTTTTGTTTGTGTTTTGTTTTTCGAGACAGGGCTTCTCTGTGGTTTTGGAGGCTGTCCTGGAACTCGCTCTGTAGATCAGGCTGGCCTTGAACTCACAGAGATCCAACTGCCTCTGCCTCCCGACTGCTGGGACTACAACCATGCACCACCAACGCCTGGCTAGAACATGTTAAGATAAAAGAAATATGTAATTTGTCATAGAGTGAGACCAGACAGTCTGCCCCTCTAACTTAGGAACATCAGCCATGTGATCTGCCTACCTTTAAAAGTGGGCAGAGTGAACTTACGTTGCCAGGTTTTCTAATGAAGTTTTTTTTAATTGAAGTGACCTGTGTGATTATGCAGAAGAACGGAGCTGGGTTACACACTGCAAGTTCCTGCTTCTGGGACAGCTCCACGGATGGTAGGCTTCTCACCCTCCTGGGGAACCCTGCTGTGCCCATTTCTCCAACTTTCCCACAGCTCCCGGGTGCAGAGATGTGCAGTCCTAAGGAGCCGTGTCCTGTGATGTGTGCACATAAAGCTCCCGGGTGCAGAGATGTGCAGTCCTAAGGAGCCGTGTCCTGTGATGTGTGCACATAAAGCTCCCGGGTGCAGAGATGTGCAGTCCTAAGGAGCCGTGTCCTGTGATGTGTGCACATAAAGCTCCCGGGTGCAGAGATGTGCAGTCCTAAGGAGCCGTGTCCTGTGATGTGTGCACGTAGACATCTTGTGTTCCCCGATGCATTTGTGTAAAAGTTACCATTGCCTGGTCTAGTGGTGCACACCTTTAATCCCAGCTCTAGAGAGGCAGAGGCAGGCGGATCCCTGAGAGTTTGATGCCAGCCTGGACTACATAGTGAGACCCTATCTTAAAAAAATAAAAAAAGTCCCCAGTGTCCTGTAGACACTTGCCCATTTATCTGTGAGCCAGGCAGCGAAGTCACGTTCTCTCTGTGGAGGTCAGAGCAAGCGTTGGAGCACTGGTCTCCTGGGTCCCTCATTTCCTGTGTGTGTCTTCCCTGCAGGGAGCTGCACAGTGCGATGGGAGAACAAGACCATGTACTGTATAGTCAGTGCCTTCGGACTGTCCATCTGACCTCGCCAGCCCGCACCTCCCTCCCGTCTCAGCCTTTCTGTTTCTTCTTACCACGAGCTACGAGCTGGGCGAACACCTTCCTCCTCTTTGTGTTTTGTGGCACTTTCAAAATGTAGAGAAATAAACCAAATGACCCCACGGTCACAGGAACCATACAGCGTCGTCAGGCAGATGAGCAGCCACCTGTCACCTGAGGCTGGCCGTGCCACTTGTAACTCTGTCTCTTTTCAAAGGTGCTAAAAACCGAAGCCTGCTAGGAGGAAACTTTCTCTGCTTCCTGAAATGATTCAGATACACTAATTTTCCATACTTTATACTTTTGTTAGAACAATAAATTATTCAAAATTAAAGCTTCTATGTTCTTTGTAGTCCAGAGCATCACACATGAGAATCTATGTCACTGCCTTCAGAATTTTTCTTTTAAAAGGTGTTTCCAGTCTTCTGCATGATGACAGGAGTGTCCCTGACCGCCCTGGCTGATGGTCTCAGGACAGTGCAAGGCCAGGAGCTCTGTAGGCCATGGGCTCATTTCTGTGATGGTAAAACATGGTATACTGGCAGAGCCGGAGAGGTCATGAACCTCGGATGCATGATAGACACGTGTGACATGAGCCTCCCTCAAAGACATAGAACAATGGAAGATGTTTCTACCCATCAGTTTAATTTTTTAAATTACATTCATCTGTGTGTGACAGATGACAGAGGACATTGGAACTCAGGTAGTCAGGCTTGGTGGCAAGCTCCTTTACCCCCTGAGCCATTTCACTGACCCCATCAGTTTAGTTCCATTGCACTGGCCATCTGGGGAGGGGAGGGGGGGTCACAAACCAGGAAGAAAAAAACAGCATAGGAGAAAAAACTCCTTGGATTCTTTCCCAGAAAATGTCTTAGTAGAGGGGGAAGGTTCAGCTCTGCCTTGGTCCTCTAGAACAGAACTGTGTTGCTTTTACCTGTGGGAGCAGGAGCCCAGCCCCATGGCAATCCTTTACGCCGAGTTCCTGTTTTCCAGAATCCAAAGGGTAGAAGCTAGACAAGCCAGCGAGCTCCACCTCCTGCATGCTTAGCCCAGTACACTACAGCCTTTAATCCCGTGTTCTTGAGTTCCACCAGCAGTCACATGTTTAGTATTTTGGAGTTTATAGGATGCTTTCAGAATTACTGTGTTCACATGTAATGCAGTTGCTTGGGTATCGCAAAGGGCTTGCAGTGTAATAAATTCCGAGTAACAAATCCTAGTGAGAAGGGACCCCAAAGACCAGGCTGTCTGCTGACCTCTTTGGGGTTCACCTTGTGGGCCACATTAGACACTCGGGTTGCCATCACCACTTGCTTGGCGTGTGTGTGCATGAGTCTGTGTGGGCGTGCACTCAGGAATGCGTGCACACTCACGAATGTGTCTTCTATGTTTGTCCAACTCCAGCTTATTTTCTGAGACAGGGTCTCTCACTGACATGGAGCTCACTGTTTCAGCTAGCTTGGCTGGCCACCAAAGCCCAGGAGCCACCTGTCCTATGTCCACTGCTATATGGGTACTGCAAATCCAAATTCACAAGCACCCGCTGAGGTGTCTCCCAGTGCCCTGGGCTGAAGGATCCTCTTTGTAAAGTATTCATGTAAAAAGCAAGTAACACATAAAAGATGAAAAGTTAGAAATATATCAGCGTCAACACACAAGGGGTATTGTCAGAATGAAGCACTTATAGTTTGAAGTGAAATGTCTCTTACAGGTGCCTAAGTCAAATGTTTGGTCCTCAGCTGGCAGCGCTATTTGGGGAGGTGCTGGAAATTTTAGAGGTAACCCGCTGAAGGACGAGGGTTACAGTAGCAGGTATCGGCACCGTATTCTTCCTTATCACTGGCCCACAGTGGAGTGAGCTAACCACAGACCCATGAGCTGAAGTAGCCATCCTTTGGGTTGCTCACCAAAAATGAGTCTTCCTGAGTTTTCCACAAATAAGCATTTATTTGCTCATTGACTCTTCTGCCCAGGTGACACTGCTCCACACATGGCCCAAACCTAATCCACAGTTCCAGTGTTCCTTCTGGATTTAGAGCCTAGTGTCTTTTACTTAACAAATATTTACAGACATTTGTTAAAAAAAAAAAAAAAAAAAAAAAAAAAAAGTCAGTTTTCAGTAGCAGAAAGGCCTCTGTGCCAGAGTTATACCTGTTCCGTGTCACAGGATGTGAAGGCTATTACTCCTCGAAGCACCCAAAACACCAAGATAAACTTCAGCAAAGTGGCAGACTAAATCAGTTTTCATCTAGCCTGAAAAAGAGTTGCAGTCCCCCTGCCCAAAGGAAATCTAACCACTAAGACAACGGGTTTCTAATCCCTCACACATACAAATACAAACCAGGTGTTGGCTCTGTTTCTCACGGAGCACTCACAGAGAAGGCCCTTTTAACGCTCCACTCATGGGGTTTTGTAAACTCCGTCTGTGGCTAGCTTTACACGTCTAAACTCACTGCAATCTGGAACTGTACAGAGACTGCCTTTCGAGCCTCAAGTGTATATTACATATGCCCTTTCTGGCCATACAAGTGGGGCTTGAAGGCACCGCTACAATGATTTGTCAATAAATCAAGCAGACTCACTATCCACAGGGATAATGAAGCTCTCTCAGGGGAAGCCAAGAGACAACCCTTTATTTTCTAGGTTCCCCTAGATTGGACCAATATCAAAAATACCCAAGGGCAGTATTGTTCAAACCATTACCCTGAAAGAACTTGTTAGCCCTTTGAATTTGGAACTTACGTTTATAAAACTTTAATTCCCTTAGAGCGAATCAGTCTTCTCATTACTATCAAAAGTTTCTGGCAGAGTTTAGTGTTCGAACCTACAGCCTCAGCCTACCCACTGAAGCCTCTAGATCTGTAAGCAGAGTTCACACAGCTTATAACACATGATGTATATGACACTAGGGAAGAAAATGTGAAAACAATTACTTAATGATTACTTCCCCTTAAGTGCTTCTTGGTAATTCCTATTTCCAACAACTACAAAAAAAAAAAAAAAAAAAAAAAAAAAAAAAAAAAATCCTGGATTTTTAGATTCACAGACAGGAGGATCAGTTTATAATTACACTTAGGGCAGTTTTTAAAAGTCCTCAAGTCTGTACATAGATGCTTAAAATATCTCACACTGAATGATAAATATCATTCTAAATCACAGAGGATTTCCTTTATAATGGTTAAAACAAGTGAACGATCATATATTGGAATAGCACAAGTCCGTGTCCATGAGCGACAGCTGCAGTGGTCCATTAGAAGTTGTATGTGTTGGTAACAAAGAATCTTCCAGTATCTCTGAGAACACAGAATCAGAGTGATCACAGTACTGCAAGTGTAAGAATCATGTAAACATGTTAGCTTTGCAACTATAGTTTTCATTCAAATGTTCACGTGTACAAATTGTTTTAAACAGTGCACATAGAATCCGTTTCAAAGTGCACTGAGGTTTAAGAAGACAGGCGGGAGGAAGGAAGAGTCTCCAGGCATCCCTGGGGTCTTGGCCCACCTGGGCAGTAACCCGCAGCTCAGCAGAAATCTGAGTTGGTGCATAGATGAAGGGAACATGGTGTTGCCTGAAGAGGGGTCCACCTGTTCTTGGGCCTCTGGATTTACCAGGACAGAGGCAGGCAGTATGGCTACCATTACCCAGTGTTCACAAAGGGGTTGTGTGTGGGGAGACTCCATGGAATGTGATGGAAGGTGGTGGCACTCAGGACTTCCAATGCTGGATTTCACTAGTGCAGTGGCATCCGTTTTCCACGGGGCAACACTCCAAGGACAGTGACCTCTAAGTAAGTTCCTTTATCTGAAGTTGTCTCCATAGCCATTCAAAATGTTTAACTTTCTCGTCATTTTAGTGCCACATGTTAAAATGGGAACCTTTTCGGCAATAAGGAATTTCTAATATAGTAATATTTCATGTGGCTCTCATTAAAAACAACAATAACAAAGCAACAAAAACAACCAAAGCAGAGCTCTTTGGGGTCTCATCTTCAGTGGAGCTGCAGGGACGTGGAACGGGAAGGGACACCCGTTTTCCGCCCAGTCCTACCACATGTGTGGACCTTTGCACACGGACCCTTCAAAAGCACCATGGCACAAGACCTAGCCCACAGGGCTACCGGCTTGTAAACACCTTAGCTTTCTCCTGTCTGAGACACACACAGACAGACAGACAAACGGATACCCTGACCCAACTGTGTTATTATCACTTCAACTCAGGGGCAGTAACAGACTGCAACCTCGCCACCCACCATTCCTGAAAGTTCCATTGTACGAGGCTCACCAAATGCAGTCCAGGCCATCTTTCCAGATGTTTGGGAGACAGCGCAGTGACCACTCCATGTGTCTGTGGAGATGGCGGCAGACTGCCCACTGAGGCCGGTGCAGCCCAGCTTCCTTTGAGGATAGAGCACTCAGAGAAGGTGACATGGAGGACAGGCTGCCATTCTGGGACCGCGGTCATCAGGCATCCCACGGACTCAGAGTTAGCAAATTGCTTTGTAAGAGGAACAAGGTACATAATTCTTTTTATTAACTGGGTAATTTCTCCTCCTCAGCATATACCGGCTCCTTCTTGTCCGGTGTCTCTGTGAAAGGATTTGCCTTTGGATTCGGTCAGCCAGTCTCTTCATCAACATTTCAATCCATTTGGTTTTTCTTTTCAAAATATGTAAACAAATAAGGAACAGGAAACTTCTGCTTACAGGAGAAAGGCCCAGGGCGCATCTCTAAGGCCGGCCTCCGTCCCCTTGCTGCCCCATCTGCTGCCAGGGCTCAGTCACTGTCCGACTGCTCCTTGTACGTGGCCCGAATGGCCTGGCCGTTCTGCAGGGGCATTTCCTCATAGTCACTCCTGTTACAAGAGAGACCTTTGACACTCTGCCACACGGGCTGCTCTTTCCTGTGTGTGTACACATGTGTGGAGGCCAGGGGGCAACACCAGGTGTCTCTTTATTTGTCTCTTTCTTTATTGAGATGGGATCTCTTCCGGAACTGGCAGCTCACTGGTTAATCTAGAGTGGCTGCTTGCTGAGCCTCCTGTCCCCAACCCCCAATGCTGGGGTTATAGGTGTGTACCACTGACCACTGGGTCTGGCTTTTGTTTGTGTTGTGTTTTGTTTTTGTGAGACAGGGTCTCACTATGTAGCCTTGGCTGGCTTTGAACTCAAAGATCTGCCTGTCTCTGTCTCCTGAGTGCTAGGACTAAGGATGTGAGCCACCATGCCCAGCTCAGAATCTGGCATTTTGCATGGGTCCTTGGGATCTGAACTTGGGTCCTACGCTTATACAGCAGGTGCTTACTCAGTTACTTCTCCAGCCCCCACCTGGTAGCCCTTCACTCCGCTCTAGTCAACGAACCCCTCTCGAAGCCTCTCTCTTAGGCTCTAGTCACCTGACGCTGTCTACTCTCCCCATTGACTCCCAGCACCCACCGATTCAGACAAACCTATTCTGTAGGTACCACACATTGCAGGCATCCCACAGAATGCAATGCCACCAAATCCACGTGAAACACGCAAAAATAGAGCTGCAAAGCCCCCGACACTCCCTGGCAGCCAACAGTCCAATGCCATGGAGACAGACAGTAAAACTATCATCTCAGTAAGCAGACAGAGCCAGGCTGGAAGGCACATGGTGACAGTGACTTACCCGTAAATCACGTCATCGTCAGAGTCGTTCAGCATGGAAAATGCAGGGTTGTCTTTTAGCTGGGACTCTGGGGGAAAAAAAGAAAAATCAATAAACATCTTTTTAATGAGTGCATTTTTTTTTTTTTTTTTTTTTTTTTTTTGTTATTAGCCAGATAGAAGTCTGAAGGAGCTAGATCCAAAGTCTCAAACAAACTCAGCAGCGGTGGGCGTGCTGTGAGAGTATGACATCATAGGCACAGCATCGAGGTGTCCCGTGCTCAGCTGTGAGACTGTGCTCTGTGTTCAACTTCAGGCTACCTAACATTCGCCTGCCTTCTCTCTGGCCTAGGGCCCCGTACCCAGGGACAACGTGAGCCATGGAAACTTGTACCCAGGGACAACGTGAGCCATGGAAACTTGTGTTTCAGATATGTGCACAGCACCCGAACCCCAGGTGGCTCACCATACAGAGCATTCTTGGATGGAGAGTACACGAAGGCCAGCGTGTACAGGTAAAAGTTCAGCAGGCCATAGAAAGACAGGAACTCCGCTGGTGGTGTTGGTCAAGGGAGAAGCATAGATTTGGACACATAAGGTCATGCCATGCTGCCTCGGGTCAAGCTCATGGCCAGATGTCACAAGGAGCCTTCTGGGTCCGTAACGCCCCAAGAACAGGAAGGGGACTGAGGTCTCCTGACACAAAGAAACGCAGAACCGAAGCTCAGAGTTCCCCCACCTCCTCCAGACTGCAGACCCTCAAGGACCCAAGAAGTCAGTGTAGAGCTTAGTGACAATTTAAAAAAAGCCATCATTAATCCTAAAACACACATAGTCCATTCGCCCGACCACAGGCAGGGAAGCCAGGAGAAACAAGATGTGGCCTGGATGTGGGCACAGTGGGGCCTGAAGCTCCAGTGCTGAGTGAGCGTCTGTCGCCACAGTGATGCTGGCGTCTGGATGCACCCGAGTCATGCCTGGAAGATGCCGGTGGCACACAGGCCTCCAGTCCTCAGGGCGGCTCCCTCTCTCAATGCTAGAGGGAGCCAGCAGCTCAGGGCTGGCTGACTGCCCCACTAAGAAGAGAGCCGCCAGGCCCTGAGGACGGGCTAGTGTGGTCATCGGTTTGGATCCAGGCTGTGCACACAGGGACTAACCTTGGGCACTGACTCGGCCCTGCTGTGTGGGAGCTTCCTGCCTAACAAAGAGGAGATGGATGAAACCCACCCTTCCCAGGGCCAACAGGGAGCTGAGAGAGAGCAAGGCTTGCCCGAGGCCTGCTGAGCACAGGTCATAAGGGGCTGATCCACCCCTGGCAAATGTCCAAAGCTAAGGTGTTAACTACCAACACAGGGCAGCCCGCAGGCCTGGATCCCCCTGGGTCAAGGATATAGTTCTGGTAGTGAGCCGACAGTTCTGCTACAAAGTTGTCTTGCAACACTTGTGCCCCAAACCTTAGGTAGAGGATGACGATGCTGGAAGAGAAGGGAAACACTGTAAAATACCATGTGCTTACCCCATTAACACTTAACAGGACACTCTGATACACATACCTACATGACTCCCACAGTCATGCATCCACTATGTGTTGTCCAAGCAACCGAAAGAGCAGAACGGCCACCTACCGTGTGGCTTTAACAATCTCTTGGAGCGTACTCAGAGAAACGGCTGCCTGGGGGAAAGGCTTTGTGGATGGCCACTACTGCCCAGACAGTGGCTTCTCCTTGATGGCTGCTGTCTGCTCTTGCCTAGGCCTGTCCTCAGTACCAAAGGTCTGGAGGCCCAGACACCACTCAGGCATGCCCTCAACGGTGCACTTCCCTGGTGCGGGGGACTGCATGTGTTTGTCGGGGTTCGGAGTGAGGAGGGAACAGTCGTGGGGTCGATGGTTTCACCAGCCACGACACTCATGGTGGAACTTTTGTCACCCGGGCCGTTATATAACCTTTGGGTTCTTTTGGTTTTTCAAGACAGGGTCCTCTATGTAGCTCTGGCTGTCCTGGGGTTCCATCTGCAGACCAGGCTGGCCTCGAACTCAGAGCTCCACCTGCCTCTGCCTCCCACACGCTGGGATTAAAGGTGTGCGCCACCACAGCCTGGCTGACTTTGTGGACGCGTGTGGCCACGAGTACCCCGAGGTAACTGCACACCGAGACAACAGGGTGGAAATACGGTACTAATGAATCCAGAAATGAAGTCCTGGCGGCTGGGCGGGACCCTGGCCTGGCACGCCAGCACGAGGACCTGAGTTCAGATCTCCGGCGCCAGGGAAAGCTGTGAGTGGTGAAGAGGATCTGCGAGCGCTTGGCAAGTGGGCTGGAGGAGAGCAGAGATGGTTGGATAGCCAGCCTAACCAATCAGTGAGCTCGGGACCCAGTGATGGCTCAGCAGGAAGACACGACCACGCCTGACAACCTGAGTTTCATCCATGGACCACACAGGGGGTGGGGGGGGAGCAGCAGAAAATCGACTCCTGCAGCTTTTCCTCCCACCTCCACACACATGTGCACGCCCCAACACACACAGCACATCGGTGAGTTAGTTAATGTAAAAAACAGTAAGGTGGAAAATGAAATCGGAAGACACACAACGTGCATGCACACCCAGACACACAGGTGCGCACACCCAGACACACACGTGTGTGCATACCCAGACATACAAGTTGCACACCCAGACACACAGGCTTGCACACCCAGACACACAGGCTTGCAAACCCAGACACACACGCTTGCACACCCAGACACACAGGCTTGCTCACCCAGACACGTGCGCGCACACCCAAGCATAGCCTGACGTACACATGTATGCACACCCTGGAACACACACACACACACACACACTGTTGTCTTACCTAAAAACAAGCACTACGAAGGTCAATGCAGTTAAAAACTTTAGCCTGAGGTCTGAAAAAGAAGGAGATGCTCCCATTAACACGCTCCACCTCGATCAACAAAGCCCCCTCGCCCTTGCATGCGCTGTGTGACCGACGGTGGCTGGGGAAGGGCCACACACTGCGGGGGGGCCCTGAATCTTGTGCTTGCTCTGGTCAAGCACAGTGCTACTTATAGGTCCCTGGCAGTTCTCACAGCCCTGTGGCATCATGGACCACGACTTCTACTTTAAAGGCTTCTCTCCAAACTGCAGATCCTCCCTGATGGCTTCTGGGGGTGTGGCCCGTGCTGCTCCACGCTTCCCAGAGTGGCACTCACCCACATACGGCATGTGACGGAGCTCAGAGCACGCCCGCACTATCAAGAAGAGGAGGTATAGGACGTACAGAGCGACCACCACCATGAAGAAGGCCTTCATGCCCTGTAATAAAGGAGACAGGGGAGGGTGAGGCTGCACCGCAGTGCCTATCCGTCGGCACCGGCAGGGGTGGAGGCCCAGTGTGATTAGAGGGGACCCGGGGCCTCAGGTCACCCCATTGCCACGGCGCCAGGAAGGGCTCCCCCAAGCACAAGCGCCTCATGCCAAGGTCACTCCAACTCACACACCAGTGCTTTATCTAGAAACCTGAGGTCAGAGGATGCTGGGCAATTGGTGGCAGCCACTGAAGCCTTTGCCTGGGGTGGGGCCTGTCCCTGTGCTACAGAGGACAAAGGTTATGCTGACAGGACATAGGGCTGGATTCAGCTGGCCTCATGTAAGCCCTGCTGTTGCTGAGAAAGGAGGGGCCGAATGGAAGGTTCTAGGAGACCTAAGGTCAGGAAGCATTCCCTTCCGTTGCTTGAGGATGGGAAAGCCCTTGTCCGAGGGCCAGGTTAGTGGCTCTGATGAGAAGGCATCGTGTGCTGTCCTTGAGCCTTCTCGCCCACGAGGCTCATCTGAGTAGGAGCTTGCCCCCTTTCCTGAGCTCCCTGAAGCAGGTCCCTCTCTCAGTTTACAGCCTCGAGGGTGGGGCTGCAGGTCAGGGGCCAGACTCTTCTTCTGCTGTGCAGGACAGCTGCTCCCAGCACCCTAGCAGCCTTTGATCCCTGCTGTGTTCTTCAGTGAAGGGTGTGGACTTCTGTCTGTTCTTGAGCCCTCGCAACTCCATCCCACACAGCCTGGCTGGGAAGGGAAGGGCTCGCCAGCAACTCAGGACAGGGGCCTTCTCTGTGACATTTGGCCAAGAGTTCTGCATCCCTTGTATGATGTGGGAGATGCCACTATTGACCCATTTTATAGATGAACAAACAGAGGGGGCTCAGCCCCTGGGTGAGCCCGCAATGGCCTAGGTTGCGTATCCTTGCGGTGTGGCTCCAGACTCTGCCTCAGTTTGCCAGGAATGAACAAACCAGGCCAGACAAGTGCAATCGACGGCAGACCGGTCCATCCCCACAAGTCCTCTAATCTGTGAGGCTCACTCCCAATAGTCTTCGCTGACTCTTCTTCGTGAAACGGGCTGTAGCGCTCCTTCCCGGACCCACCCTCCACCCAGAAAACCCCTTGAAGCTCTGGCCCTACCTGTAGCTGGTTTGAAGCCCCACCTTCCCACCCAATATGGACTCTCTGAGCTAAGCTCCTCCCAGGGTGCCCTGCCCCAGGCCCCGCATCCCAGAATCCTCTGGTCTCCGCAAATGGATCCTGGGGCAGTCTCTCTCCCAGTCCAGCACTGTCTGGCTGAGGCCCTCATGCCTGTGTGGCAAGTGCTTTACCAAATCTCCCCAGCCTAAACCACCTTCCCCAGATCCTTCCACTCCTCAGCTTCCTATATTCGTTTTCAAGCAGCCACTGGCAAGTTGCACTAACAGCGTGACTAGAGATACAAAACCAGCCGCCTCATAAAGAGGGTTAACGAACGTGAGGCTGCACAAACAGTGCTTACCTGAAAGTTTCCTGTGTCAACACGGTACTGGTACATGGGGTCATGCAGTTCATTAAATCTAAAAGGAAGATGTTAAAAATACAGACTAATGAGAAAGCTCGCTCTGTGTTCCACGCTTCTCCTGACTCCGGGTTTTCTTTCTTTCTTTCTCTTTCTTTCTTTCTTTCTTTCTTTCTTTCTTTCTTTCTTTCTTTCTTTCTTTCTTTTGCTTGTAAACGTACAGTAGTTGCTCCCACCACTGGAGGATTTTTAAATGGCAGCTCTGCATTTTACACAGGGAAAGTGCCAAGCATTAAGCCGGGCGTAGTGGCACGCGCTCACCGGTAGGGTGAAGGTGCGGGATTTGTTTCTTACAGATCCCTTACACACAGTTAAAGAGCTATCCTCAATGAAAGACTTGCCTTTTCAATTACGTGTACCATGTGCTTGGGGGACGGTAGGTGCACATAAGGGCGGTGCCTGGGGAGGCCAGAGGTGGAGGCTATGGGTGGTTGTGAGCCACCTGATATGGGGGCGGGGAAGTGAACTTAGGTCCCCTCTGGAGGAGCAGCACACCGAGTGCCCAGTCATCTCTCCAGCTCCAGGAGTTATTTCAATGGCACACTTGGGCATGTGAGACACATAAGGGCGGCAGGATAAAAAAGCAGTATAAGCGTGCATGAACTTCAGTTTCAGAACTGGCACTGGGGGCTGGGCTGGCAGGGAAGGAGTGACTTGGATGGTGTGAAGTCTTGTCGGCGCCACTGTGGCCTGAGGCACGAGGAGTCACAAAAAGCCACACGTGGTCAGGCACCGAGCAGTGTGTCTGGGAGGTTGGCAGTGACGCACAGCTCCTGCAGCGGAGCTGTTTCACAAAGGGGAACAAGTCTAACTAGGGTCACGTGAGACTAACAGGATCAAGCCTAAAGCTGTGCAAGGTAAGGAAGCCTGAAGAGGCAGGAGGGAGCGCCGATGCCTCTGCTGGGCGCCCCTGGGTGCTGTCCCAGCAAACCAAACACTTTCTCAATAAAGAAGCGTCCTGCTGCTATCAATATTTCCACCCAGCAGCAATACTCACGTCTGCCATATTCCTAGTGTAACAGAAGCCAGCCACAACAGTCCAACGATGAAAAATTTAGGCAAATAGAAAGTTAAGCACTTTCTTTCTCCCTTAAAAAAAAAAAAGTAGAAAAGTAAGAAATACACCAAATAATGACTAAGCCCAACAGAGCCCCCAAACACTCCTAACACAGCATGGGGAGGGTCTCAGGGTACCACTCATTCTGAAGGACGACCAGCATCTGTCTGCTTACCTGGACCCGTATCCCGTGATACACGCACAGCCAGAAGAGCAGCAGGGCACACAGGAACAGAGACTGTAAGAAGTCATCTAGCATCCCCGGGAGCCAACTGTTCACCAGGAAGGAGAGTGGGAAGAACGGGTCTGGAAGGCAGCAGACAGAACATGGGCAAAAACATAGCTGGCTGGCAACCAGCACAGAATCCCCAGCCTCTTCCGAGCTCAGAGCTCACTGTTGCGTTTGCTCCTGGTCAGAGCTGAAGGGCAGGGGGCAAACCAAAGGTGAGTTTGTTTTCTGGATGTCTAAAGCCACTGAGCAGATTGAACGCAGTGACCCTGACAGAGAGAGCGCCATCTGCCCATGTCAGCTTCTCCCACGCCCTGAGAACTTCCAGAGCCCAGCTCATGAAGCAGATGCTCTCTGGGTTGGGGACAGAGGAAGAGACAGCTGCTCACGCACAGCCGGGCACCTCAGCCAAATCCCAGGACTGCCACGTCTGTGTCTGCGTCTTGTCCAAGCTCCCACTACCCAGGCAGTTTGTGTCTGCTCGAGATTGAAGCATCTGCTATGGATGTGGAACATGGTGCCCGGGGCGCAGGGGTGTGGCACAACATATTCTTGCAGGGGTTCCCTGCAGACACTCCCGGCCACCTTTCAGGATGACTGGCAGTTCGGAATCGGAGGGGGCGAAAGTTGGGAGGTGAAAAGGGCACCCACCGTTGTAGAGCAGCAGCAGCAGCAGGAGGGCGGACATCCACTTCTGCTCGATGCCCCAGTCTCTCATGGAGAACTTGCGCAGGGAATGTCCAAACAGGCACTGCAAAGCAAACGGCCCCGTGACTGCCTGCTGGGCCCTGTCCCCCGCAGGGTGAGTGCCACTCCATCATGAGGCATCGCTGGTTGGTTAAAGTGATTGCTGGGGTCCCACCACTATCCATTACGGCCAGCATAGTAAAGTGTAATTGCTGCATGGGGTCACAGGTGCTTTGGGCCACAGACTGCTTCCACGGGGCCATGAATTGCCTGCACACGGGAAATAGGCCCACGCCTCGCTTTTCTGCTTGGGCTGCTGCAGTCCAGCCCAGCCTGTTCCCACACGGAGGCTCAAAGGACTCCCCAGAGCAAGCACGTCTGTAGATGCCACCAGGTCACCTGCCTACCGAGCAGCACAGCTGACGGATGGCACCATGCACTAAGGATGGTGTCAGGACCCCCAGGGAAAAGGCAGCAGGTAAAGCCATGCCACAGCCAGAGGCTGCGCGTGTTTTCAAACCCCTCCATTGTGTGTGGAGCCCTTGGGGGAAATGTCTTTAAACGCAGAGGTCATTTTCTTCCCTGTCACCTAATACTAACTAGTAGTTTTCTGAGCCCTTGAAATTTCCTGGTGGGGGGCAGTTTTTTCCCAGCAAAGGTTATCTGCTGACATTCAGGCACCTTCTCCATTTGAGAACCAACTTAGGGCTGTGATTGCCAATCTCTGGGCCCCAAGAGAATCCAGATACCAGGTAGCCCTCAAAAAAAAAGGAGGATTTCTGAGAGCCCAACCATGAATGAGCCAGGGGTTCACCTCACTCTCCACGGCCCCAGGCACGGCACAGCCACCCTAAGGCGCGTGATTCAAGGCCCGCGCCCTGCCTCTCTCCCCCCCACACACACACACCTTCAGTACAAGCAGCTGTGCCTCCTCACACGCTGGGCTCTGATGCCACCAACCCTGTCAGCATGAGGGCGTACAGCAGCTGACCGTCAGCCAGCCACTAAACACACACTCTGCCTCCGCTTTCTACGCCCCGCCCCTGTTTCCATGGCTGGCTCGGTACTGATTAGAACTTCACAGACTAGCCTCATCCCCAGTGAATGGGCCAGAGCCCCCACACCCCGCCCCGCCCCTCCGCCCAGGCAAATGACACTCACGGTGACGATGAACGTGAGAACCACAAACACGAAGCGGAACCAGATCTCCAGCTGGGAAAATGCAGGGTTGTATGTCTTCCACTGCAAGAGGAAACAGAGGTGTGTGTGTGTGTGTAGGGCGAGTGTGTACAGGACCGGTCGGGACGGGACGGGACTGGGGTCTGTGTAAGCTGTGTGTGTGCAAGACACCAAGAGTCAGATCTCCACCCGAAGGGAAAACACCTACAGAAACAGTATCCCACGGTAAGGGCACAGGGAGACACACCCAACTTTCAGAGACCATCACTGAGGAATTTAAAATGCTTTTCCCTTCTGTTTTCTCACAATGTTGTACAATTTTAACAAATTTTATGTCAAAATTAAACAACAGATTAGAAAAAAAAAAAGTCTTTAATCCCAACACTGGGGCGGATCTCTGTGAGTTCCAGGCCAGCCCAGTATACAGAGCTAGTTCCAGGACAGCCAGGGCTACACAGAGAAACCCTGTCTCGAAAAACAAACCAGAAAACAAACAAAAAGAACAGATTTAAAAAAAAAATCTTAAACACTGAGAACTTCTGGGAAAGGTTTTAAGTGGCGAAAACGTCAGATAAATTATTCTATAATCATTATAAGGACACTTGAATTCTAAACTTCCTATCAAAAGTCGGCCTTGCCAATCTTTGCATGAAAGGAAAGCAGACGTGTGAAACATGTAGGTGTGAGAAGTATTTCCTAAAATACTTAAGGAGAAAATTCAAGTATGAATCTGCACCCCTAATAGTCATGTGGGCTGTGCTGCCTGAGTGGGCCCTGGCGTCTCTGGGTTCTGTGCTGTTTAAGCTATTCTTGGTTCCACAGACTAAAAAAAAAAAAAAAAAAAAAAAAAAAAATCCAGGTTTTCCAAAAGAAACCACGAGGCACTAGTGTACCCAACCACCTGACGAGGGAGCCACACAGGTGTGCAGCTGTCTATGTGCTCACCGTGAAGTTCATCTCCTTGATGGGCTGGTTCAGGTGTTCAAATCCCACGGTCACTGTGTACTGTGTATAATTCAGGTAGCCCAGGTGAGCCACGATGATTTCTGCACATTTCTGAAAGAGAAGAGGTTCACGTCGCGAAGGCGAGTGGAAAGGACCTTCCACCTACAGACCCTAAGTGACTTGTTCCAACAGCTGAGCGGAAGGCATCATCTAGAAACTCGCCAAACACTCAGAGAGAGGCAGATGCCAGCCGAGGATGGTTCCTAGAAAGCGGGTGCCCAGTGAGCATTGCCTGACTAACAGTGATCGGGATGATCCTGCTGTGGATGATGGGTGACAAGGTATCACACAAGCCTGCGTCGTCTGTACACGCACCATGTACTACTGCACAGGGAACTAACTGTACGCTCAGCCAGCAGAGCCGTCCTCACAGCCTGCCTGGCCTGCGCCCACCCTGCAAGGCCGTGACCATGCGCATTTCTCTCCTCAATTTCAGCCTGCTGTTTCCTACACGGATCTGCTTCCCTCGTCCCTGTCCCCACAATGAAGGCAAAGACTACAAGCAACGACAAGTGCATCGTGTGGATGGTAGATGTGGACACTTCCCAGGCTACCGAGCCCCACCCTGTAATTCTTCGGGATTAGGGCTCGGAGCCCCTCTACAGGGCAGACTCTCCCCCAGTGGGACTCTCCACTGTAGCCTGCCACAGAACGGGAGCAAACGACGACGGGATGGGCTGGCTGCCATAAGCACCGTTCACTCCAAGGGGCAGCAAGAAAAGCACAGGAGAGCCTGCACACACATCCTGTAGCCGGCAGGAAATCCCTCCACAGCCAGCCAGCTGGGCGGCCCCTTGGAGGGGACAGGAGCCCTCTCTCCCAGGTCAGAGCAGGGGTCAGCTGTGACCTCCTCCTCAGTGCTGCCTGCCTGCCCTCTCCACAAAGGGGCTCTCGTCCCCAACTCCCATTTCTGCTGTGATTGTCATCATCACAGGTGTCCCCAAGGACTCAGGAGAACCAGGAATGGGCAGATTCAAGGTCTCCAGTATACCTTCTGTGAGCTGTGAGAAAGAGACATGTCAGTCTGTCCGTCCTTCCTTTCTCTGTGTAGCCCTCTATCCAGCAACATGCTCTATAGATCAGGCTGGCCCCTAACTCACACAGATCCGCCTTCCTTTGTCTCCTGAGTGCTGGGATTAAAGGTGTGCATCACCACTGCCCAGCTGTTAGAGACATTCCTTACAAGTAAAAGAATCCTTTGCAATTTTTATGTTAAGTGTGTGTGTGTGCATGCGCATGTGTGTGTGTGTACATTCATGTGCACATGCCCAAAAATGCCAGAAGAGGGCATCAGAACCCTTGAGTTGTAGGAGGCTGTGGACCACCTAATGTGGGTACTGGGAAGTGAACTTGGGTCTCTGAAAGAGCAGCAAATGATCTTCACATGAGCTGTCTCTGCAGCCAGAGGCATTTTGTTGTTATTGTTGTTTTGTTTTTCGAGATAGGGGTCTCTGTGTAGCTTTGGAGCCTGTCTTGGTACTCGCTCTGTAGACCAGGCTGGCCTCAAACTCATATAGACCTGCCTGCCTCTGCCTCCCTAGTACTGGGATTAAAGGCATGCGCCACCACGTCCCGGCCATCTCTCTCTCTCTGGCAGAGGCGTTCTTATTAGGAGTGTAGTTCACTTCATATGTACTGTCACACATACCATAGTGAAGCCACCTGCGGATTCGTACATCTCATGGTCAAGCCATGCTCTATCTGATTATGAAGCAGCTAGCGAAGTGACCAAAGCTTCCTCATCACCTCAGGGTGTTGGTTTGTTGACACCAAATTAGAAACAAAGGCTGGGGAGGTGGCTGGGTGAGAAATCGCTTGCCAAGCAAACATGAGGACCAGAATCCCCGTCTTTGCCTCCCATGGTCCCAGCACTCTGGAGGAGACAGGATCCCTAAAGCAAACTGCCAACGGTGAGCTCTGGGCTCAAGTGAAGGGGCCTAACTTAATACCTAAGGATGTATTGCAGGATGATTGAGGGAGACACCCACCACCGATCTCCGACCTCTACCAAAAACGTGCAAACATGCACATACACACACTTCACACAAACATACAAACAGATTTCAAAAGTGTTAAGAGGGTGGCAAATATTCAAGTAACATAAAGATTCCTTGTTGTCTTGGTTAGGACAATTTCCTTGCAGTAATAAAAGTGCCTAAGGACACAGAGGAGATGTCCCAAATCATGACCAGTGTAAACCGTGCAGGGTTTCCCACACGGGCAGGAAGGTCCCAGAGATGCTCTGGAGGTCCACCCTGAAGACAGCTGTGATGGGCACATCCTGGGAGCATCGATATAACCCAGCCCCTAGACAGCCTGCTCTCCTTGAAGCCAAGAACTGAAAGTCCTATGTGCTGGGAAATGCCTCAGACAGGCCAGCTAGGATGACCAGTCACGGTGAACAGCTGTGTGTCCCATTCTGGTGGCCAAGGAAAAGATTCTTGGGACTTTAACATATGATCCTTATTATCCGGCAGGACTGACTGAGTGCCTCCTGCACACAGGATGGGACCTTGGTTCTGGTGACTTTCCCAGAACAAGCCGGAAGGGCTTAATCCCCCACAGACAAGAATACGCTCCAGGAACTGGCTCAGGCTGGCTGCTTGCTTAGGTGGGAAGAGGGACACAGGGTGAGGGGTCAGTTAGCTTCCTAGATGCCACCCTGTCTGTGAGGGGTATGGCTGTTGTTGCTGAGGTGTGAGCCCCCACCCCAGCACAGCTCAGTCTTCCACAGCTTAGCACCCTCAGGCTGGGGCTCTGAACCCTTACAGTCAGCAGACAAGAACCAGGAGAAGGGGACTAGCCACTACACAGGAGCTCTTCCCTGCTCAAATGTCTTCTTGCCGGGAGAAATCGGCAGGATTCTTACGGTTAGTAACTCGGCAGGATGCATGTGGCTTCCGGATAAAAGAGCACTGGCTCAGATCCTGTCCCTCCCACTTAGTATCTGTGTCAACCTGGACAATGGCTGTGCCCTCCTGAAGCCTCTGTTTCTTCTTTTATAAAGTAGAATCTGGTAGTAGTTCCTACCCTGTGGACCTCCTGTGAGGATTTAATGAGCGGCATACAGAACACACTCAGTGTGAAACCTTGCAACTCACTCCAATACTCCGTGTCTAGCTGGGCCTCTAATCAACACCCGGCCTGTTCTGACCCTCTCCAAGGGCTCCTGCTGCCAGGGGGACCTGTCGAGTCTGCTGCAGGGATGGTGTCTGAGTTACTGGCTTCTGAACAGAACACAGTATCAATAAGTAAAGGTGTGAGAATTTATTCTTAGGCTAGATCTCCCAGTCATACACCATATCCCACAGCAGATCCTAAAATGTGGTTGCTGACCCCAAAAAGGCCTGGGCACTCTGTCCCCCATCTACAGAGGGATCAGAGCAGCCTATACCCAGTATAAACCACCCAAAGCCACCGTGATCAAGACTGACCCTGAAAAGAAGCAGAGGTTCACCTGAGACCTGGCCCTCCACATTGCCTACCAACAGCAATTACCAGGTCATATGGACTCTGGGTTTGTGGCAGACTGAGCGTGCCCGTGTGTGTGTGTGTGTGTGTGTGTGTGTGTGTATGTGTGTGTTGTATGTGAGTGTGCCTGTGTGTGTGTCTATGTGAGTGTGTGTGAGTATGGCAGTCTGTGTACTTGTGTGTGAGTATGGTGTATGTGTGTGTGTATATGTATGTGAGTGTGTGTGTGTATGTATGTGTATGTCTGTGTATGTATACGTGTGTGTATGTGTATGTATGTGAGTGTGTGTATGTGTATGTGTAATGACATGGAATTAAATGCTTCTGTGTGACAAATGAAACACTCGCCAGAGTGAAGAGAGTCTATAGAATGGTGGTGCTGGGTGAGGATGGAGGTCTTTGCCAACTACACATCAGATAAGGGGTTACTACTTATGATAGATAAAGAACCACAAAAACTAAACACTAACACTCAAATCATGCAATCAACAAATGGACTAAAGAACCGAGCACACAGCTCTCAAAGGAAGAAACATAAATGATTGATGCTTCAAGAAGTGCCCAACACCTGAGTTCATCAGGGAAATGTACATTAAAAGTGCTTTGAGAGTCCATCCCACCCTAGCCATAGTGGTGAGGCTGGTGAGGAGTGTGCAGAAAGATGAGCCATAGGAGTGTAAACCACGGCCGGCTGCTACTGACTTCAGTGGACCTGAGCTATAGCAGTCCCGGGGTATGCCAGCAGGAACAACGTCAACACACCACAGAGACACTGCTGTATCTGTGTTTACTGCTACATCACAGACGAAGCTGGGAAATGCCGGATGTCCATCAACAGATGGCTGGAGAAAGAAAATGGAGCATGTATACAAAATGGAATTTCACGTAGCCAGAAGAGAAAGTGGAATCATGAGGGTCATGGGAAAGTGGATGTGACTGGAAAGCAGTGTGCTAAGCAGAACAAGCCCGATTGAAAAAAGACAGATAGTGCATGTTTTATATGCAAGACCTAGACTCAAGTTTACGTCTGTGAGTTTACACATTCGTGTATCTGTATGTGTTGTGTGTAGGTCATAAAAGTAGAATGAGGCTCACGGGCGGGATGCAATCTTGAGACAAGTGGAAATAGGAGATAGGACATACTGTACAAAAGCAGAAAGAAGGTCCTGTGTGTGAGTGTGTGTGTGAGTGTGTGTGAGTGTGAATGTGTGTGTGAATGTGTGTGTGAGTGTGTGTCAGTGTGTGTGAGTGTGTGAGAGTGTGTGTTGTGTGTTAGTGTATGTGTGAGTGTGTGAATGTGTGTGAATGTGTGTGTGAGTGTGTGTGAATGTGTGTGAGTGTGTGTGAGTGTGTCAGTGTGTGTGTATGAGTGTGAGAGAGAGTGTGTGTGAGTGTATGTGTGAGTGTGAGTGTGTGAGAGTGTGTGTTGTGTGTTAGTGTATGTGTGAGTGTGTGTGTGAATGTGTGTGAATGCGTGTGTGAGTGTGAGTGTGTGTGTGTGTGTGTGTGAGTGGCGGAAGAGAGAACCGGAGCAAAGGGGGCAGAAGGCAAAGGGGGTGGATGGGAACCCAGCATAACGGCATGCGTTTGCGGACTGCACTGGAAACCCACTGTTTGCATGCTAACCTAATATTTTTGGACCCACTTTTGAAGCCGTCACCTAGCTAAGCTATGGCCGTTTGCTGGACAAGCAGGTCTGTGGCAGCGTGTGCAGCTATCACATGACTAACGGTAGCGACGTCAAGCACACTCACCCCTGCACACGAGAGGGTCCTTGTCCGATTGTGAGCCTTGTTATGAATGTATATTGTGGTTCCGTCTTGAGCCACACCATTGACTTTCACAGTCATGGAAAAGCTGGTTTTGATAGAAGTTTCTACAAGAGAAGGAGATTCAGTCTCCACATGGGGCGAGGCCAGGCCAGGAACTTCCCACTGACGGACACATAGAGACCGCCCAGGAGCATCGTAAGGCTACATTACCACCCACCCACCCCACCCCCACGTTTGAAAGTCTTGCATCGTTTGGCAAAGGAGGAACCCTTTGCTACCTCCCACCATTGCTTCGCGACCTGTGTTACGTTAACCCTGCATTCCTGACCAGCCTTTTCACTTCACGGCAGGGTGCACGGTTAGGAGGGTACATGAAATTCTTTATATACCAGGGCAGATTCAGATCTCCATTTCCCACTAAAATTAGTCTAATTATATTTTTATCATAAAAAAAGAGAACAGGTCTGTTAAGATGGTACAGCAGGTAAAGAAGTCTGCTAAACCTGGCTAACCACCTCAGTTCCATAGCAAGGACCCACACGGTGGAAGAGGAGAATCAGCTCCCTGGAGTTATCCTCTGACCTACTTTGTCTCTAATAAATAAGTGCAATAGGTTTTGAGAGAGAGAGAGAGAACAGTTTGGAGAGTTGTCTCAGTGTTTAAGAGAGCTTCCTGCTTAGGACTGGAATTCAGATTCGAGCAGCTGTACAACAGGTGTCCAGCTGTACAACAGGTGTCCCACACGCGCCTGTAACCCTAGAACCGTAGAGAGGAGATGGGAGGATCGTTGGGGCTTTCTGGCTTCTAGTGGAGAAAATGGAGGAAAAAAACGTGAGCCCCGGTTCAGGGAGAGGTCATGGCTCAAAAGAACAGGCACCAACACACAGGTGTGCATCCCCCTACACACAAACAAGTATTTAAACAAACAAAAATACAAACAAAAACCCACATAAAGGTGGCTTCACTGAACAGTACAATCCCATTCCAATAACCATAGCTAACGCTTTTGTGTTGATCCTTCTTTTAGACCATCCTCCTAAACTTGCTTTTTTCTTACTTCTTTTACTGTGGTCAAGGGATGGTCTTCCAATTCTTTCCTGGAGTGCCTCAGCTGATCAGAGACCACCTGCCTCACTTCTCAGTAGGAGGAAGTTAACACTTAGGTCAAGGCAGATGCAGAGGCCAGTCTTTGAAAACAAAGGCCCCCCAGCCCCCCCAGCCCAAGGCTCTCCCCATGTCAAATTGTTCCCACACATTACCCAGTATCCCTGGGGATCGAAAACATGCCTTGGGGTAATCCTCTCCCAACTCCACACTGAACTCAGCTGCCCGCACCCTACAGAGCTGCACCCTGGTTCCCACTGGGACACGCGGAGGAGCTTCGATCTTTCCTAGTGTCAGAGCTGGGCATCGTTCTACACATATCTGTAGCATACATACTGGAAAGTCTTTCCCTCCTCTTGAGAATGAGCATTTGTACCAAACACAACAAGCCACCCCAAATATCAGGCTGCATACCTTCTGAGGGTTCCAGCTCCACCACACACGTCAGCCATAGCTGCTGGTTGTATGTAGACAGCAGGTTTGAATGTATTTGAATAGGCTTTAACTGAAGCAGAAAAATAAAGTCATCACATGCCCTGTTCACAGAGCCCCTGAACACCTCATCTTAATGTGTAAAGCATGTTCCACACACAGCTCGGAGCATGAGCCCTGACAGAGCTGGGTGGCTTCCCTTTGCAGAGCACATGGTATCAATCTCCTACAGAAAGGACCAGCTGCATGGCCCACCTGCCTCTTCAAGACACTAGGCAGCAACTCCTGCCACCAGAGCCTCCTCAACACCGCAGGAAGCCACTAGAAATGGCAGACTGACAGACACAGTAGTAAAGGACACCAGGGAGCATTGTTCATATCCCTGGCTATGTGTCTCTATAACCATCTCTGTAGTATTGGTAGCCTGGGCATGCCCACTGGCTGATGCTTGTGACTTCCAGGGTTAGAGAAGTCCTAACCTACCCACAGAGGAAAGTGAGAGGACTCTGTGACAATGGTCTCAATGGCCTCCTGAACACACAGACGTGGTAACTCACGGCAGAGGCTGTCCCATGGCTGGGCAGGGAGCCGGTGAAGGTGCTTACCTACACTTCCAAAACCAGCATGATTTGCAGGCCTCCACTGTGGAGGTGAATGTCTTGTTTTGTTTTCAGGCTGTCGGGGTCTCCTCCAAACTTTCTGAGACCACACTTGTGTGAAAGCCATGGAGGAGTGGAAGCTATCAGTGTGCGTGTGTGCGGGGTGGGAGGCGGTGGATATTATCTTTCTGAAAACAAGATGTTCTCATAGAAACCCTCAGTTCCATGAGATGACTGAGAGAGAGAGAGAGAGAGAGAGAGAGAGAGAGAGAGAGAGAGAGAGGCCCTGAGAGTAGGGACTGGGAAACCCATGATTGTCAAGAAATCTCATAGTGGTTGCCTCTCCAAACCAGACCCCCTGCCCAGAGCTCAAGACAACGAGGAATACAAAGAAACCTTAACGGCTGACCACCCAGAGGTCGCTCCCAGGCAGTAGCAACAGCTAAAAGCACACAAATGTTCTTCTTGCCCATTTAAAAGTCATAAGGAGCTCCAGGCATGGTGGCTTAGTCCTTCAATCCCAGCACCCAGGAGGCACTCACGATGAGCTCACGCAGGGGGACCCAACCAACAAAGAGAGCTGCTACTGCTGGAAGGGACATGGAAAAAGTCCTGTCTTGAATACACACGCCAAAAAAAAAAAGTCTAGGAAGCGCTCGCCTGCCAGTGCGAGAATGTGAGTTCTGCCCTTGCAGCCATCAGACTGGGTGCAACACGGTTGTAATCTCTACACTGGGGAGGCAGACACAGGACTCACTAGCCTAGCAGGCCAGCCCAAGACCAGGAAGGGACCCTTACCTCAACAAGCAAACAAACAAACAAAATAAATGACAGGTTGCCAGCTCCTGAGGACCAAACCCTGTGGCTGACCTCTGGCTTCCACACACATGTACAAATACCCAAATTATGGTTTTTAAAGGAAGGGTCATATGTCTAAGTATCATTGTTAAAGTGGTGAGTGCAGCAGGATTTTCCAACACGAGCGATCAGGACAGCTGACACCAGCTAGACGTGAGCCGTAGTTCCCTGGGAGGGAACACCAACACCCTCCTACGGCCATCCTCCCGAGGACTCCAAGGTCCCTAGAAACGGGAATTTCAGATGACGAGAGCCTGACCATGAAATAAGAGCTGTTGCGTTGCTTAGCCGGGAGAATGGCAAGGGCGGTCTACCCTCAGACCCTGCGGCAGGGACACTTCTTAGTGACCGCAAGTCTATAATGAACACCCCCCCCCCCATGCACTTCTTACCTTTTTGCTATTGCTCAGTGAAAAGTTAGCAGCGGAAGTCTGGATCACTTTGGGCCCTAAGAGTAACAAAGACAAGAAGGGAAAGGGATTAGCGTGGTTAACGTACCGATTTTGTTTTAAATTCGAGAAAGACTTTACACAGTAGACACAAATGATCTCTTGTGGTGGTGTATTTTTTTTTCTTTTTTTCCTTTAAGAGATTTTATGTAAGTAGGTAAAATGCCCAAACAAGGACTAGGTGTGTGCTCTGCTGGGGACACAACTTCCATGCATGTTAAGGTGGGGTCTCCGCAGACTCCCTCCCTCCCCAGGGCTCTCCTCTGCGCTCTTTCTATTGTAAGAGCCCCGTGAAACATCACTAAGAAATGAAGTTAATGCATTCATCCACCTAACCCAGTCTTCTAGAACTATTCCGCAGAAGTGATAAAGTGACAGGTATCCTAGCATAGGGCTTTCTTGAAATAGATGTTTTATTAAGTTCTTTCTTCCCCGATCTTACTGCAATTAAAAAACGCCAAGAACTTACTATTTTAAGCACATTTAAGAGTACAATTCAGCAGGATTAAGTACATCTGCAGAGTGCAGACATGGCCATCCATCTCTGTAGCTCTTCTTGTAAAACCCAATCTGCACCATCAACGGCCTAGGCGCCCCACCCCCTCTACCCCTCCGCCCTGTAACCCTCTCCGTGGACCTTGGGTGAATAGAATCACACAGGATTTATCTGTTTGGGCCTGGTTTACTTCATTTAGCACAATGTCCTCACGACTCATGCTGCAATGTGTCTAAATCGTCTAATTTCAATTTGTGTGTATGTGTGCTCCAGTGCACGTATCGAGATCAGGTGACAGCTCAAGGTAGCTGGTGCCCTCCTTTGGAGATGTGAGTCTTGGCAGCAGGCTGCCACTGGTTGTGTGACAGTTCCCTACGGGCATCTCTTTAAACAGAAAGGTGAACAACTCAAAAGAGCTCCAGGAAGTCCCTGAAACTGACCAGATTCACTAGGCTAGGCCCCTCTCTGCCAGAGTCAGCAAAAACGGCCCTGAGTCCCCAAAGGGAAAGAAGCTGATGTCAGAAGAGGCCTCAGCTGCAGAGTCTGAGACAAACCAGAGCAGCGGCCCGGAAGAGGTTAGACCAGAACCACTTGGAAAGGACCGCTCCAGCCTGGTGAGCTGCCTGCACGCTGTGCGGTGTGCTCCAAGTTTCTCAGCTTTTGTGAGCTGTCACCTGTACTGGGGCGGGCCTTGGTGATGCGGCTGTCATTTCTGCTCCTGTAAGGAGCCCCTAGTCGGGCTTTGGTGGTACCTACACTTTGGTCTATCATGGGAACCCTATCTATGGCGAGTTAACGTGTGTTGTCTCTCCAGGAAAGGTTTTATCACACAATAGTCCTCTCCATGTGTCATCTTAAAGAGTGAATAACGTTCAGCTGTAGCCCATGTCACATTTCCCTTATCCATTCATCTGTCAATGGATATGTAAACTGGTTCACCATTTTAGCTACTGTGGATATATATGTTCCTGTGAACACAAGTGTACACACAGCTTCTCATGACCTCGCCTTTGATTATGCAGAGATCACAGGGGGAAGGAGTCAATCGTCTGATACTATTTGTATGGAATATTTCTTCCACCCTTTCTCTTCAATCCGATTGTTGTCTATGGCTAGAAAAGAAGGCTTCTATAGACGAAATTTAGTCTGTGCCATATTTGTGTATGTATTGACGTGTGAGCACTATGGAGTGTGTGTGGTGTATGTACACACCGAGGGGAGGCCAGACAAGTGTCCTTCTCTGTCACCCCCACATTAGTCCTCGGAGGCAGGGTCTCTCCCTGAACCTGGACCTCACGTTTTTCACCTAGGATGGAAGCCAGCAAGCCGCCCGTGACCCTCTGCCTCCATCTCTCCCACCTACAGTACTGGGGTTGCGGGTACACGTTTGGATCTGAACTCAGGTGCGTGTGGGTTTGCAGCAAGCACTCTTAACCTCTGAGCACCCTCCAGCCCCTCGTGCTGTGTTTTAATCTATTCTACCTACTTCTGCTTTTAATTGGAGAATTTAACCGGCATACATTTAGTCATTGGTTAGGAGGGCTCCATCCTGCTTCCTTTAAACCTCTGTTTACATCTGCTTCCTGTTAGCCTCACGGTTTTTCGTTCTTTACGTTACACCCATGAGTTGTATTCTTATTGGAGTTTATAACAGTTTAATATGATGGATATACAAAAACTCATATCTTTTAACAACTGTGACAACACGATCTTTAGGAATACACACATGAACATGTATGCATGCGTGTGCGCGCAGACACACACACACACGCACACATACACACTGCACACAATGGGGAGGGGCATGCTGAGGATCAAACTGCAAACCCACAGTCTTGAACATGCTAGATAGTCAAGTACCCTCCACTGAACTGCAGCCACAGTCCTTATTTGTTATTTTATATCGCTGTTATAACTATAAAATGCTGTTAATGACTTAGTCTCTTATGTAGGAAACAAGGTGTGCACTTGCAAATGCACAGTAAGAGCTGCTTTTACGTTAAGCACTTTTAAAATAGCCTCTAAGTAATACAGAAAACAGAAAGTGTCTTTCACACTGATGTGGGAATAACGTGAGCTTTTATAATTACAACAGTCACCTTTGACCTACGGGCTCCCTTCCAGAACTTGTAGCACAGGGCTAGCAGCAGCCACGCCCTCGGCTTTAGTTTGCCCGGGAATGTCTCACCCCCACAATTTCACTGAGAGACCGGGTCTCACACATGATCGATCCTCCTGTCTCAGACATCCAAATTCTGGAAACACAGGCATGTGCCACCACACTCAACCTCTCCCCCTCACTTGTGAAGAACATTTTTGCCAGGCGGATGCCTGGTTGAGAATTCTCTCAGCATTTTGAATACATCTGTCTGTTTCCTGCCCTGAACAATTTAGATAAGAGCCAGCAGCCTCACTGGGGACCTTCTATCTGTAATGAGTCCCTCTTTCTGCAGGGTTCCATCTGGTTTAGGCTTCCTATATAGTTCAGCTGCAGTGATGAGCCTGGATTTAGCCCCCTTGAGCTCATTAAGCTTCCTGGATGTGTGTGTGTGTGTGTGTGTGTGTGTGTGTGAGTGTGTGTGTGTGTGTGTGTGTGTGTATATATACACTCACCGTTCATTGTATCTGGGAGCTATTCTCCCCGCCTGTTCATTCTTCTCCTAAGACTTCTACAATGTGGCTATCAGTTTACTTGATGGCGGCCCACAGCCCCCATAAGCTACACTGCCTTGCCACACCTCTGTGACCAGAAGCAGCAACTGAGGAGCAGAGCTCAGGCCCCCAGTTTGAGGACCGAGCCCTTTTGTCCCTCCTCATTCCCCCAAGCTGCATGCAGACCAATTCAGAATCTGAACCGAGATCTCTGCTTTACAGCCGGCATGGGAGTGAGGGCCTGCACAGCACTAATGGCTAAAATCAGTCACGGTGTAATGTCAGCTGCCACCCCAGAGATTTACAAACCTCCGACAGACAGACCCCAGGATCCCGAAGTAGCTCACCAGCAAGGTTCTATTGCTGTGGCTGGTCTAGGTGTGGAAGAACATTCCTTCCCACGCTACTGTCTTCCCAGAATCCTTAGCATCTCTGATTCTTACTGATTGATCCTCCAGGGCTTTGGCCGTAAGTGACTTTAAAATTAATTTATAGCTGGATTTGTCTAAAACGTAATATTCCTGCCAAGTATGGTGGTGCCCGCCTTTAATGTCAGCGCTTGGGAGGCAGAGGCAGGTGGATCTCTGTGAATTTCTGCCAGCTGGGCCTACACAGCGAGATTTTTCTTAGCCCGTGAAGCCAATTCTCTGGGCTGCCTCCGAGGCTGCCCTAGCCAGCTGCCATTAGTCCTCAACCAAACTCAAACTGCACTGATGTAGTGAATGCAAGTTGGCCAGCACAACTGGCTGCCTCAGAGAGGATGCTGTGAGGCTGTCTCCAAGTATGGAGAGGGCCATTCCACAGCAGGGGAATCTTACTCTGGCTGGCTTGGAGGGGGGGGATGAAGCCTTAAGAACCAACACCTGGGCTCTTCGTTAACCAGGCACTCTGAGCCTCAGTTTCCACATCTGCATAATAAGGCAGTGACACAAACTCCCCAAACTCTCCAACAGTAGCATTGCCACATAAAGTAATTAAGAAGAGAGTGCTAACAACAGCTGCTTTCACGAGTTAATTCCGGGGAGGGGAGCGGAGGGGGGCACAGGGAGTTTGGTTAAACACTCCTCTCACGTGTCTGTGAGGACTTCCTGGGTAAGACTCATGTTTCAGCCAGCAGACTGAATAAAGCAGACCGCCCTACCCAGGGAAGGCGGGCCCCCTCAACGTGCTTGCTGAGGCCTAAACAGACACACTAAGGAGAATCTGGTCTCCTGCCTGACACTCAGACCTGGACTGGGGCTCACACTACTCATCCCTTGGTTCTCAGGCCCCTGGGCCCCGATGAGGCCCAAGTGGCTCCCAACTGACTACAGACCTGAGGATCCCTTAACATCCAGAACTGTGTGAGCCAGTCCCTTTATTTTATGTCATTATAAAAATATTACATATTCTATAATTATATAGTACATACTATATCTCATAGCTGTATTACATACTTAGATCTAATAACTATAAAAACCATTTACACCTTGATATAAATACAATTGTTTACATTTGTAATTATATATATAGACTGTATTATAATTGTATACAGTAAGGAGACCCAATTATAGTAATATAATGGGTACATATATGCGCATATGCACACACACACACACACACACACACACACACACACACACATTCCTTACTGTTTGTTTTTCCAGAAGACTGACAGTAATCTGAGTGATGAGATAAAGTGATGGGCAACTGACATCACCCCTGTCTCAGCCTCGGGGCATCAATTTTCATCTCCCTTTCACAGTAAAGGCTGGACACAATCTGGGGTGTTCGAGACAGAGTGGCCTGGGTAAACAAAAGCTGGCTAATATCCCACTGAGACTGCATGCAATATTAATGCCTCCCCTACCAATATGAAAGCACAGTTTGAAATGTGAGATAATGGGCAAACCCTGTATTATGATTAGTATAACTTTAAGCCCTTGGTGACTTAACAGGTAGGAGAAGTTGGCTATGATTGCTATGGTCACAACTGTATCATTTTCATTGCCACCAGGCATGGAGCAAGCAGCCCAATGGTCACTCTCTGCCCCCAGCCTCTTCTAGCCACCCAGCACTCTAACTTCAGCTGAGGTAAGACACTAGCTTTCTGAGGCTCAAAAACCTCCGGGATATAACTAAGCCTTAATGCCTGTCACTCGGCGTTAAGCACACTCGGCGTTACGCACCTCCATCACTTAGAACGGCTATCACAAACCGCCCTCAGCGAACAAGCTGAAGGAAAAAGAATGGGAGGGGAGTGCCTCTCTCTCCAAGGCTGGCTCCCGCTGCCCATGTTGCAGGTAAGACAGAGGAGACCCCAGCCTCTGAAATCTTGTGAGGACCACTCAGCTTCTGTGGCTCTGTTTTGTGACTTTTGGGGGTGGGGTGGGGAATGGCTCAGCGGGCAGAAGGCTTGAGGTGGGAGCTTGAGAACTGAAGTAAATGCTGAGCCCTACAAAGGCCTGCTACAGTCTCAGGGCTCAGAGGGCCCAGATGGCCCCAGAGCATGATGGCTGCGTTCAAGTGAGGGCGCCTGCCTCAAAATACAAGGTGGAGAGTAACAGAGGAAGTCAGCTCACATCAACATCTGGATATACACAGACAGACAGACAGACAGATTGACAGTCTCTCCCTCTCTCTCTGATGTGACTCTTCTGCTAGGACAGTTTCTGCTGCCTGGTGGTCTTCGCACAGTCCTACAGTCCTAGAGCTTGAGATGTCACCTGTCCAACCCCTACACCCCGAGTCCTAGTCACCTAGACTCTCACATGGTCTGTCTCCCCCTTAGTCAGTGGGCTCTGGATCCCCCGGGACACAAAATGACTCTAGAAATGTCTGGGTGGGCTGCATAGCTAGTTCAAAGCCAGCCTGGCTTAGAAGAAGCTTCCAGCACTGACAAACTGACCCAGGCTGTTTGTCCTGGCTGCTGAGGATGGCATGCCTACATCACACACCTCCTGAGAAGACAAGGTTCGGGGTGTGGCAACCTTTTGGCCTGTGGGCTCAGGGAGAAGGCTCGTGTCTCTCACTGAGGCCCGGCTGGAATAAGAGGGCACAGCTGGGCTGGCAGCATCAGACCAAGGTGGCCGTAAATGGAGAAACGATGAAAGGGAAGACTTACCCTCGATCCCAACGAAGACGGTCAGTCCGAAACAGATGAAGAAAACGGCAAACACGAGGACGAAGTGGCGTTTGGAGAGCGTGTAGAGCCGCATGGGCGCCAGCCTGTGGAGCAGAAGCTGGGGATGAGGACAGTCTGGTCTCACACAGTCCCTGCCTGCCCAGGCCAGCACCATCGCAGGCTGCATCAGCCCCGTGCCGGCCTCAGACGCACACTGCTCCAAAACCAGATGACCACCCCTTACTAAATAGCCCAGATGACCTTGGTGACCTCTCACGAGTGGGTCAGCTGTACGCTGTGTGTCAAAGCCTCTCTGGCCTGCCTCATGTCGTCAGAGAAGGAATTTTTGTTCTCATGGCAAGGAGAAGTGTCATCATGCCGTAGAACCGACCTAATCTTTTATATAGCTCACTTCTAGCTGCCAGGGTGCAGCCACAGCCCAGACTGACAAGGTATAGTCGTCACTGCCTAGCAGACTGAGAATGCCAGCTATTTCCATCTGGTTTGCCTCACGCTCGGAGTCCCTCAGAGCTGCCAAGAGAAGCTCCCCACTCTGGTGAGGAGCAGCCTACCCTTCCCAGAAGAGAGCTTCTAACTCCTTCATGGAGTGTGTGGGGGCGGTGGGGGGCTACAACCCTCCGTGACCTACAGGAACACAGGCCATTCAGAGGCTTGATGACAGCACACATGTACGCTTTCCCTCAGAACAAAGCATGGAGAGACAGCTCAGCGGTTACAGTCGTGTAGTGCTCTAGTCAAGGACCCCAGTTCAGTTCCCAGAACCCACATCAGGCGGCTCACAACCGCCTGGAACTCCACCTCTAGGGGATCTGATGCTCTCCTGGCCTCAGAGAAAATTACACGTACAACAACCACAACCTCAGGCCCACCGTGCATACATGCTACATGTAATTTTAAAATGAAAACAAATCTTTAAAACCAACAATAAAAAAAAAACACACACACACACACACACAGGAAAACGCTTGCTGCTCGGCACTCTGAATAGCATATTGGGCAGGTACACCAAAGAAATGCCTAAGTACCCTCAGCTTTGCAAAAAACACTGGCAATCCGTAGGTACAAAGCTGTGTCCTCCAGAGTGGCGGCAGTGTCCTGAGCAAAGGAGCCCTGTTTGTACTCCAATTAGTTTCACTACTAAAAACCCCACTAGAGTCCTAGGGAGACGATGACCTCCCTCCCCAAGAGAGGGGCTTAGTGTTTGCTTGATGGCTGTACCTATGGCCTAAGGCCCTGCTGTTTGCCTTGGAAGCTGAAAGCAAACGGAAGGCGGAGTCCACCCTGACGGAGGCGGGGCCTGCACACCCAGGGTAAGGTTACCAACTTGTGCTCACAAGGCACAGGGTCCTTCCACACGTGCTTGAGGCTCCAGATGGCAGGAAGTCAGTCAGCCACTGGGCTGGGCAGGCTCAGCACAAAGGTGAAGCCTGGGAGCCAGGGCCACTCTGAGTGACGTGGCACTGATGACCATGCAGCCGTCTGGGTGGCCCTGGCTGACTCTCAGATCACTCTCCAATCATTCGGTGAACGAGGAAGCCTGGAGGTTTCCCTGGGACTCTGCCTCCAACAGAGGCATGATGGGAGGAGGTGCTGGAGGGAGCCTGTGCTGCTAGCCTAGATTAAGGGTCCCAAGGGCCTCGTGTAGTAGAGACAGAACTGGCCCCTGCGAAGGAGCCAGATTCCTTTGTAAAATGCAGTTCTCACTCCAAAAGGGCATAAGACGGAGTGTAGTCTGAGCTAAACATGCGTGATCATGGCCCAGGTATGTGGATTCATATTACTTTGATGATATCGTCCACCATGCAAGTGGTTACAACACCTTTTATCAGTCAATAATACATTTCCCAAGTACATTAGTGGGACACTAGGCAGGCGGGTTACAGGGAAAGGGGAAGTCTCTGCTGTAGGCTTCAGGTGCTGACTGATGGTATTCTTAGTGTTGGGATTGGTGGGACCTAATGGCTGTGTTTTAGTAAAGGTTACCATGGCTGTGATGAAACACCATGACCAACGCAACTTGGGAGGAAAGGGTTTATTTTTTATTTGGTTTACGATTCCACATCACAGCTCATCATCAAAGGAAGCCAGGGCAGGAGCTGATGCAGAGGCTATGGAGGGAGCTCTTCACGACTTGCGCAGCCTGTTTTTTTGTTTTTTTGTTTTTTTTTTAGCATCCAGGACTACCTGTCCAGAGATGGCCCCACCCTCAATGGGCTGGGCCATCCCACATTAGTCACTAATTAAGAAAGTGCCCCACGGGCTTGCCTGCAGCCCAATCTGATGGAAGCATTTTTTTTTTTTTTTTTTTCCTCTGCCTGGGTTCCTTTCTCTCTGATGACTCCAAGCTGTTCAGGTTGTGATGGGGGATGTCATTCTGTAAATATTCTGTAAATTCTCATTACTGGTTAATGAATAAAGCACTGTTGGCCAATAGGAAAGCAAGACAGGTGGGACTAGGAGACAAGGTGGATTCCAGGAAGTAGCAAGGAGGAGTCAACATGGAGAGGCTGGGGAGACGAGATGCAGACCCCATTCCTTGGTGAGATGAAAGCACGTGGAAATATTAGATTAACAGAAATGGGCTAATACTTGAGACAGAGCTAGCCGATAAGAAACAAGTAAATGGCCAACAGCATTATATCAAATACAGAGTCTCAGCGTGTTAATTGGGGCTGGCGCGGCGGCGGGACAAGACCAGCAGCGGGAGGAAAAAACCTTACTCCCTACAAGGTTGGTATAAAACCAGTCATCATGGCCGTTACTACACTGCAAAGGTTGCACCTGGAGGTAGAAAGGATGTTAGGACAGACACGCAGGAAGGTGGTGGATGGCGTGGGAGAACTCTGGCTCTCAGTAGCCCTGCCGCTGTTCAGCCGCCACCGCCATCTTGCAGAATCTTCAATACAGGTGTGGCTTTTTCAGCTGGGTTCACACTTCGAGTTTACAGATAGGGAAGCTGAGATTCGGAGGCGACAGGCCTGCCCAGGTTGTCACAGACACGGTATCTGGCAGCCCCTGTGGCTTCCCTGGAGGGAGGAGGCTCTGGGAGACAGGACCCAGTTAATGCCCATCTGAAAAAGCCCCGTGGAATGCGAATTTTGGCAGAAAAGCAAGTGTCCCTCGTGTGCCTCTCTGTGACCCAGGTATCTGTTTATTTGTACAGTGTGTTTGGATATATTTTTGTTTTTAAGTCTGAAAGGAAGGGATGGTTTCTAGGCAACTACACACGACATTTCCACGTAGAAATCAAAATTTACACAAAGCTAAATGGACGGGGTTGTGGAAACGGCGCAAACAGGGTTAGCTAACAGCATCTCACCAGCATTAATGATGCGATTGCGGCGAACGTGGCAGGTGGCGGGAACAGTGTTCTCTATGGACCGAAAGTGGCTTTCAGGGATCTCAGAGCCATTTGTGACCTGGCCCTGCTGGTAGATTAGGCACCAAGCAAATGGACGCAGGGAAACCAAAGGAAGGTCAGATTTTAAATCTGGAGTTAAAAATGCATCCTTTGGCCAAGCATCGTGGCGCACGCGCCTTTAATCCCAGCGCTCCGGAGGCAGAGGCAGGTGGGTCTCTCTAGGTTGAAGGCCAGCCTGGACCACACGGTAATCATGAGGACAGACAGGGCTACACAGAGAATCCCATCTCAACCAACAAATGTACCACTGATGTCCTCAATGCCTGGTTACTTAGCAGCCGAGAAACAAGCCGAATAAGGAGACATTAAGAAAGTGCCTGATGGCACAGGAGACTAAGCCGCTTTTCACAAGAAAATCTGTTAAAGCCAAACGCTTCCTTCCTAAGAGTATGCCTCTCCTCCTTCCAGATCCCAGTCAGATAAAATGAAACTCAAAATTCTAAGTCAGGAAGGCATGGAAGGCCCCATGTCAGCATCTGAACATGCTTGCAGCGTAGACTCAGTTACACGGACCCCTGCCACCAGGCCTTGTCCTTCCCGCTAACCAGAGTCAGCTCCCAGGTAACTCTCCCGACTCGAGTGAGAGACCCCAGCCACTATGGGAAGAGCAGGCCACCTCTCAGGGTCTCGGGGTGTTACTGGAAGCGATCAACCATTCACTGGCATCTCCACGCTCCCCAGCCCAGAGCTGCCCTGTGCCCTATATGGTAAGCGTCCGATCACTTCTGAGTCTCCACCTTCTCTGCCCGGCCTGGTCTTACCGTTTCCTCCTCTGGGCTCCGCTACGTTCCCTGCCATGAAAACCCACCAGCTGCTGTAGGTGTTAACTGTCCTCCCCCAGGCCACCTTCAGTGCTGTCTGTGGCGCTTTTGCCTTCTACACTGAAGGCAGGCGCAGCAGCTCTGTGTCACTTTGGCCTGACTCACGCCCACACCATCCTCAAGGCTCATGCATGCCCCCCCCCCATCAGCCCGGCTCTGAATCCCTGTCACCGCCATTATGCCCACTAAGCACGTCTCTCTCTCCAGCACGGGCCCCTCACAGCCCATAAAACAAGAACAGATGACAAGAACTCATGACTGACTGCCAAGTGTGTGACAAGGCAGGACTCAGCTTTGTGGAGAGTGAGAGGGTACCTCCGGGTGCTGGCTTGTCTGCCCCGGAATATTTAACTTTGTGAAGACGTGTTTGTTTAACCTGGCAAAGATGTGTTACATTTGTTTCGCCTTGCCTGCCCCGGGCACCTGGATGGTTTAATAAAGAGCTGAATGGCCAGCAGGCCAGGCAGGAGAGGGGTAGGTGGGGCTGGCGGGCAGAAAGAATAAGTAGACAGGGAAATCTTGGCAGGAGAGAGAAGAAGAAAATAAAGGAGAAGGACAGGGGCATGACCGGGGCATGCAGTCTCTGGGCAGACATAAGAAACAGTGATAAACAGAAGGGAAAAAAGGAAAAAACCCCAGAGGGAAAACATAGATGAAGAGAAACAGGTTAAGTTATCAAAGCTAGCAAACTAAGCCTAAGCTAAGGCCGAGCACTCATAACTGATAATAAGTCTCCCTGCCATGATTTGGGAGCTGGCTGGGGGCAGAGGGAAAACACATCACCGCTTTTACAAAGGACCCCAAGCCATCACCTAAAAGGAAGCAGGTTTACTCCCAAGAC